TATATATATCTATATATATATATATCTATATATATATATATATATATAGATATATATATAGATTTTGTATAAATTTTTCATTTTATCAAGTCAACATTAATCACACACACACGATAGATGGGTTATATCAAGTGACTGAGATTGAGCAATTGCAAACTATTTTGAAGCAAATGTGCATTTATGCCCACCTCCAAATATTCTTTCAGATTTGTTTGTCGTGTAAACTCATTGTGGTCCACGCCGAACTTGCAACATATATATGCTTCACTTTAATTAGAACATGAGGCCGGTTGGATGTACATTGTGCAATGAAAACAATGGTTCTGATCTTTTATTTCAGACTTCTTTTTACTATTATTCTACGTAGTAATTTGTTCATTCAATGAGTAAAGAACATATGCAACATAAGTGGTTTGATAACGTGCATAAATCTATCCGAGAATGGCATGAAACTCAACTCTGTCCGATGTTGATTCCAGATATTTGGGTGTCATTCTTGGAAGCTTTTGAGCAAGTTTCTCCTCTGTATGGTAGCACATTTACTAGAGAAAAATGGGGGTTTAGAGTCCACAAAAATGGAGCTCTTAAGATTCTCGTATTCCGGCCACAAACAGATCAGCATAGAAAACATAGAACATTATATTTTTCTATATATTTTGTTTTTTCGGAACAAATTAACGCGTTACAGATTTATTGTATTGTCACAGTTTGAATGCCCCTCAACATGACTTGATGTACTGTTTGTACAGTTTCTTGAAGCCAAATAGACCAGAGGCATTAACAAGGGATTTAATTGAACCCAACTACCCAACCTACTTTCTAATGGTTCATTAAGTGTTCGATCCTCTATATAAACACAATACCTAAGAAGAATTTTACAAGAACTAAAAAGTTTCTCCAGTGCGTCATCCACGGTTTGCAGGAAAAAAAGTGCTTTGTTTCTCACTAGACAAGAAATCGCACAAATGGCAAGCATTGCAGTGGTTAAGATTATGTGTTTGGTGCTGGTTGGGATGGTGGTGGTTGCACCCTATTCTGAGGCAGCGATCTCATGTAACATGGTGGCGACCAGCCTGGCTCCATGCCTTAACTATGTGTTGAGTGGTGGTGCGGTGCCTACTGCTTGCTGCAATGGGATTTCTTCACTCTATAACTCACTGAAGACCACCTGGCTGGCGGTTTGGCAGACGAGGACCTTGAAATCTGTTGCTGGTTCCGCCTCTGCTACCTCCTTTAAGAACGCTGCTAGCCTCCCAAGCAAATGTGGCCTCAATATTCCTTACAAGCTCAGCCCCTCTGTTGATTGCTCCAAGTAAACACTTCTCCTCACCCCTTCTTCTCTTTGTTACTTAACGTATGCTACATAGTACTCGACAATATTAAGAAAATCGTATAAATAAGAACAGTTATAATAGAGAATCGTATAAATAACAACAGTTATCATCTTAACGTATGCCATTCTTGTGTTGCAGGATTCAGTAAAGCAGATGAAGATGGATTTTTCTTCAGCAGCATATTATAATAGAGAATCGTATAAATAAGAACAGTTATTGGATTGACTGGCTGCTCTACCTGAAGGAAAATCTGTGTTATTTCCTGGTCATGATCTAAGTGTTTTTTTGTTTACCTAGTAATTTGCATTATCCTATTTGTTGTCTGGTCTATGTAGTTGCTATCTAAATCAGTACAATGAATATATATCTGCTAGTTTTCTCTACAGTTTCTTTCTTTTATATATTTGAAAGTAAACATATAAAATTTCTACGACAAAGCATCTTACATCAGCGATTAGGAATGGTCTTCTGTGATGGCTTTTAGTTGTTAGAGAAGAAAATAAATCGCGTATTGTTTATATAGACGTCTTTTCAATATTGGACATTCTTTTTTTCATTATTCTCAGCAAAAATTTAATTGAACATCAATAAACAAAAATATGACTAATCAGCCTTCATTAGCCAGTTGGAGGAAATTAATTAGGTCATACCTTCAAAAAAAATTCTACATTGAATAACTATGAGACAAATAAAATATATTACAAGAGTTTGGACTATTCATTTTAACGAAAGTTGGTTTTTTAAGATTATATCTCAAAATTTAATATAATATTAGAACTTCCTTCCAACGAGTATTGTCAAATTTTAAACAGCAAACTACCAATTTAATTCACCTATTCCATTTTCTATGCGCCAGCAGAAATATTGAACCATGTTACCTTACAATTATGGCTCATAACTTTGTTGACAATCATAAGTTGGTAAAAATCTATGGGAAGATACTAGAGGTACATCACCTCTTACATCGGGGTGTCCATAATGGACACCGGCGCCTCCTCATTGGAGGGAGTGCAGACCCGGCACTCTCTCCAATGAGGAGGCGTCGGGTGTTCATTATGGACACCTGTGTGTAAGTAGTGATATACCACTAAAATAATTCAAAATTTACATCATTGATTTTAAAAGCTATTTGTCAAATCAACAGCACAGGTCTATATAACAAATGGATTGCCAACAAAGATTGTACACACAACTTTTTTCAGAAATATTTAACCCTAAAATCACCATTATCCCACCATTAAACACAAACTAATTTTCTAATCCACCAAAGCACCAATTTCATTCCTATATCCATTAATCTCTATCACCACTATGGAGCACCACGGAATTCATGGCCGAATCCACCAAACACGTAACAAAAAAGTTCCATTTTCTCACTCAAAATTCATTTCTCAAAGGAATAACAGTGCCTTACCGTTACCCAAATTTAATCAACGCAACTATGGCTCAGTAGCAACTCATTCCCCTTCTTATCTTGGATTTTGTCAACTGTGTGAGCAACACGTCGGCACTGCTCTCCGCTGGCCGAATTTCGGACATACACCGACTGTTTCTCCGCACCACCAGTGGTCTGCTCCATCCTCCAATGGCCAAACAACAAACCCCTTGAAGTAATTCTTAGAAGTTCGGAGCTTTCCAATTGAATCCTTGAATGTTAATAATACTACCCTTTCCATCCCACAAATATAAGCTTGCCTTTTTCGTTTTTCCTTTTTTTTGTCCCAAATTATAGGTTAACGTTGTTGAGAGTATAATTAATGTCTTAATTTTTTCATATATCTCTATTTAATGTGATTTGTTATCAACAAATATGAACCATTATTATTCAATGTCTGTTAACAAGAATGTAAGTAAAATTTATAGTTCTAACATGTATTAATTAGGGTTTTTCAAATCCTATGGGATTGCTGTTTCAATTAATAGCGAACCGATTCTATTTCTATATGCATGCAACCAGAGCGTATTAAACTAAAACGAGTCATATGATTTGACATAAAAATTTCAACATTGATTTAACCAATTGAGCTATCATCTTATCAATCATGTTACATGTACGTTATGGACTACATTAAATTTGTCATTCTTCCATGTGATAGCAATCTACACTATTGAAATTAAACACAAACATCACATCACTAGTCAAATTTCTTTCACGTACGGGAATGTCAAACTTCTTGTTAAGGTAGAATGTACATCTAGCTCTATTGATCATCTTATAGGCATCTTAAGGATTAAATTTCACATCAGGAATAATAATATATAAGGGCTTGGAATACTCTTTAAAAAATTGATCTTTTAAGATAGAATTTCATGCCTCAACATTACCAACTAATCATGATATCAGAATGGTTCCTGAAAATAAAACTATTGTAGCAAGTAGAAGAGAAATTCAACTGTAATTAAAGAGCAAGTAAATTAGTTATCGTCGGGAACAGAATGTCAACAAGTACAGAAAGTGCGCCAAGTTACAAATACAAAGGTTACACCAAGGGTAACATTGACCAACCAATTACATGATGTTAATTGTACATTATGCAACAAGATTTTTCCATATCTCCAAACAAATTATCAATGTTGGAAGCATGACAATGAATATGTTATGATGGGCAATCAACTAAGACAACATTTTGACTAATAATGTGAAGTAGTTATGATAAAAGAAAATTAATGTAGTGATCTTCATCAATTATTCTTGAAAAACATGGACGAGCTTATAGTTCCAATTAGGTGACACGGCCTTATCTAACTAGCTAATGCTGCTAGTGTGAGCACAATTAGAGAAGATGAAATTATTTTACAATATCGAGTACGAGTATATATGAGAAGAGCTTACCTGCATCATCATCATCATCATCATCAATGACAAATATAAATCATATTAAATAACTTAGAAGGGGCCTTGACCTAATTTCCATGTAAAATTGCCTTAGATAAAGGAATATGGGCTCATTTTGTCCTCAACCTTCCAATGAAACAGCGGAAAGATCCTTCCCTTTATATTCTGGCACAAATAACCTAGCCTTCAAAAATTGGCACGGTTCATCCTTGGAATAATTGCAAAGAAAGTTTAAAATTATAAAAAGTGCAAATGAATCCCAATATAAATAACAAAAAAATGATAAGAAATAAAAGAAAAAGGGAAAAAATATTTTATCTTTCCCTACCAACCACATCTACAACCATCTAAATACATCCTTGCAAACCGCCGCCGCCACTGTCGCACTCCATTAAAAAAACCCTATAACTCCTGGAAAAAAAAAAAAGAAAAATCGAAAATGACGTTGCGAAAAATTCTGTACCTTACTTTTCTCACTTAGTTTCCCTTTCGAATTTAGCCCATATTTGGTTGCAATTATCCAAAAATTCTTAGTAACATTGAGAACATTACTTTTTCAGTAGGTCCCAGCTCAACTGCAATTTTTGAACACTTCTCATCCAACAATTTTGGTGAAATGGAAAATGACCACTAAACCCTTTATTTTTTTGCATTCAAAATTCTTCAGTACGTCATTTCTTGTATTTCAAATTAAAATCATTACGGCTATTTTTACTTTTTTATGTCTGAGTTGGGACTACCTCATTGTATAACGGTCCAAATATTGCTAAAAATCCAAGGATAATAGCCACCAGACAAGGGCTAAAAGCATCTATATTTCAAATTGATTTCTCTCAAAAAATTTTGAAATAGGAAAAGTAGATCAAACATTGTGTATAATGAACGGTGCTAAATATACAGGCCCTGTACGTGCCAAGAGTACAACCATCCCCTATTGATAGGGTCCTCTTTGCACGTACGGGGTTGACGTGACCCTGTACGTGCAACATCATTTGTGTATGATTCGCTTAGTGACGTAAATAGAGGCAAAAAATAATCATTACTTCAAACGTATACCGATTTGAATTTTGGAAATTATCTCACAATTGAAATATTTTTTTCAAAACCAAAGCCAATTTCATCAAGCCGAGGCCGCGAGTGTTTTATAACCGAAACCTGCCCTAATTGAAAACTTGATAGAAAATGCACTAGATCCTCTAGACTCCTTAATATTAGTAAAAGAACAAGCTAATAAGTAATAGATAGAAATGATAAATTGATTAATAAAGTCGTGGAGGTCATATCCATATTTTGTCTTCATTTTTTACTAATCAAGTAAGTTTGAACAAATTGGAGAACATTTTCAAGCATATGTAAATTGGGTTATTAACACAAAACGTAAATTTATTGTGCAAAACATCATCTCAAATCTCAAAACAAAGCTTTAATATGTAAAATTTGGCAAGTTGTACTTGTATATTTTGCCAATTTTGAACTTTATTCTTTAATATCAATCTTTCTAAAAAAAATTTGAGATTTTGAACTGGGCAACAGGTGCGACAGCTCTATCATCTGCTGCCTTCCTTATCATAAGAGATGTGGCTACAATGTTTGGTTTAAATTACTGGAACAACTGCTTATCAAAAATTTATGTGGCCTATCTTGCTTGGATTAGAGTATCAGAAATTGTGGATGCTAAACATTTACATTTCCTTAGAGATTCCATAGTTGAGTGGTGCTCCCTGGATAATCCATCTCCCTTGGGTTAGAGATGTGCAGAAATCATCTGCCAAGGTCCTTGCTTCTATAAGTCAACTTGCTAAGATATTGCAGTGGGCTTTGCAAACAAAAAAGAATGTATAGAGTTGTTCTGGTTTGAATGCCTTGATTTCATGAGCATAATTAAAATGCTTATGAAAAAACTTAGGGTCTGTTCTCTTTATTATTTTCAAGTCGTTTTTCGTTTTCAATTTTTCAAAACAGTGAAAACGCGATCTATTTCCTATTTTCGAAAATGTGTTTTTGAAAACAAGTTAAAAATTTACAAAGAAAACTCAAAACCTCAAATTTGTCGTTTTAGTTGTTTTCAGTTATAATTAAGTCAAAATTTTCAAAACGAGTTTTGGGTGTTTTCAACACAATTTTTGAAAATATCAAAAAGAACACATTTTCAACAATCTCAAAATGAACATTCAAAACACAAAACTCAAAATAAATTCAAAATTCAAAACAAAGAACTGAAATACAAAGGGGACAGCCTCTGAGATTTGGGGTTTAAACATGGTGCAGGCATACAAGGAGAAAAAGCTTTGGTTCGAGATTTGAGGGTAAAG